ACAGTGACTTAATTCGTCTTGAGGCCTCATGTACAGCAAGAGGTGAATAACATTAAATGTCCCGGAAAATAAATTTAAAAAAATAATTGTAGTAGCAAAAATTTAGCTCCATTTCAACCCAGCCTTTCCACATTAACTACCACTTTCTTATAGCTGCCTGGCTGACGTGCAAAGGAATTCAGGGAAGAGTGTGACACCAGTATTTTTGTTCTGAGTCTACACAAACCAGGCTCTGTTCACGGTTAATGAATGTCCACACCTTATCATCCTACTGCCCTACTTCCCTACAGGAGCAGACGATCTGGAGAGCCACAGATGAGTCACAGGCCAGAACATGTTGATGGGCTCAAATGTCAACACTGATGGATTCAATCATAGCGTTTGAATATAATGTCCCACAGTAGAAAGGAGACCCTGATGTTCAAGTTACAGTGGTGAAGGAGTTCAGTCACTGTGAGCTCTTAGAGAAAGTCATACATGAAATTAGATTTAGTTATATATGTCAAATTAGTTGATTAAAATCATGTGGTATCTGAGGATTAATCACGATTAATCTCCTTTAATTAACAGGGATTGTAACTAATCACGATTACTCATGTGTCAAAATGTGTTGTGGGAATCTGAGCTATCCAAATAAAATTGCTTTAACGTGGTTTCAAAATCAATTTGCGCAGAACATTGCTTTATGCCAAATACCAGGAGAAATCAGTCATTCCAAAATCAACAATCAGAAAAAGTCAAACAGTCACACTCCTGTGCTGGGATTAATTATATTTGCTGCATTTTTCCACTTTCACAAAAACTCTCTGGGCTTAACTGAAACATACTTCACTGTGTTAACGTCAACAGCCACTGTTTTTCAGCGGGGCCTGGTAATTCGACTGAGCAGTCATGGGAGTAATGGTGCATGCAGACTACTGTGGGGTGAGGAGGAGACATGGAGAGGATCCATTAGTACAATCTGATTGATCTCCTTCGCCCTTTTCCTCTCTGGCAATCTCTCAAAGCAAAAACAAGCTGCTCAGAGCCAATAATACAGCAAACTGTACTCCTCTGTCACCGTCGGCTTTTCTTACTTGACCTGGGCAAAACTGCTGCTGGGAAATGACATTGGACCTTCAGTACCTTGATACTCAACTGATTGCCATGTTTAACAACAAGTTTTTTGTTTATTATTTTTTCGATAAGAAAGTCAAATTTCTTGACCGAGAAGAAGTAGTTTTATTTATTATTGTATGCATGACAGCCAATGGGGCGGGAGGTTTGGGGGGGTCCAGGGTAGAGGGGGTCTCTAACTAAGCAACCATTAAATGAATACAACACAACTGTTTAACCCTGGAATTACAGGGGACTCTGTGGTCATGGGAGTGTCAAGATCACCAAAAATAATGTGGCTCTCAATAAGTGAAAAAGACTGCAGTGCTTTGGGTAACAGGCTGGGCCTCTGTATAATGATAACTCATTATACACTGCATTATTTATTGTGATAGATTTTGCAACCGTCATCTATGATATCACAGGCAGTAGAGTGCATGCAAATTGTGCAAAAGTTTCAGGCAGCTGCGTCGTCCACCAGCTGTTCCACAACGCTGGTGTTTTCACAAAAGAAAATAGAAAACTTCCAAACATTTGGTGGGTGGGGCATAAAGCTACATCAACGATATTACGCAGCAGTCAGGCAAACAGGAAACACAGTTGGTTGTTACACTGTAACAAGCCACTATAACGCACTATAGTTAGAATGGCCTCAATCTAACACATGAGGAACCAGAATCTGCAGTTTCTCCATCTGCTAGTCTAAAAATATGAAGACCATCTGACACCGGTTTGATCAGAGCTGTTTTATCCATACAGATGGAAGATTCAGTGTTTTGGTAAAGAACTGGAATATAATTTTAACAGTCAGTTAATTATCTGACAAATATTTTAAAATTTCTTTCCACATTTATCTCCAGTCTCCCCACTCTTTTCCTGGAAGTTTTTCCAGGACTTTTCCAGGACATTTACAGCTGCTGCAGCATGACAGATAAGATATCGCAGCGTGGACATGGAATAATAAAGCACTTTTCTCCTGACTTTTTCTGCAGTTGCACCTTATATTTTGTAATTGCCTTTGGAAAAACAGGACAGAAAAGTGTTGACCACTGCTAGCACCACTGTTCTTTAGTTGCCATGTTGATAAATTTAGCAAAGAAAAAAAACAATAATGCTGTATGGTAACATTTGAATATGATTTTACTGAATTTGAATGGAACAATGGTACATTCTTAACAATACCAGCTGCTAAGCTAAATGTACTTGTTTTAGCTCCATTTTAAGCACCAGCTCTATTTTGTCTGTTAACATACCCTTCAACTCTTACAGTGACACATGATATTTGAATTCTCATCTTGGATACATTTCATGTTTTTAGTTTGGATGGATGACTCTTTTGTCCATAAGGCCTTGATTTATTACCTGGACCATTTTAAAGTGGACTGAGGCCTTTTGCCTGGTGCACACTGAGGTGTGGATGGTATCATTCACACATGGTTAAACGGCCCCCACCAGCAAAGAAACCACACCAGGGTTCACATACACCAACCCTAATCCAGAGAATAAACACACCCTTTAAGGGTTGAAGTAAAAACAACAAAGGCTTCAGACATGTAATCCTTCAGATGCCCCTGATTAACAGAAACAACAACCATTGTTCCATTAAGGAACTGTTTTACATGTGGGATGAAACTAGACACTAACAAACAGGTTTGTGTTCTCAAGTGAAAAGTATGCGTGTGAAAACCCTTCTTCTGCTGCAGAAAAAAAACACCATGTAGTATATGGCACAATATATGGTGCAATACTTAAAAAACAACAAAAAAAAAACGAGACTGACAGAGGAAGGTTACCCAGAAGGTGACCAAAAACTTTTTACAACTTTTTTGAAAGATAATGATAAAGTGTTATAAGCCGGGGGGGTGGCGTTGATACTCTCGTGTCAGATTTGTAAAGAGGCTGTTACTGAGTCGTGGATAGTTTTTCACTGGAGTCAGTCAGTGGTGAAGTAGAATAGTCCAACCTGGAGGTGATGAATTCAAGATTCAATCAATGTGGGAAAGAAATTGTCTGATTATCTTCACTAAATCTGCCCAGTCAGCAGTCACCGTGACATTCCACACTGGTGTTACGACTACCTGCTCCACAGCTTTAGAAAAGCCACCTGCCTTTAGGCTTTGAAAGACAACCACTTCCCCATACAGAAGCCTTCCTCAAGGCACTGACCACACCCTTCATTCTGCACTGAGAGAATATACAGTATGTGAACACATCCATGCGCTATCTCACAGACAAGGGAGTTTCATCTTAATGGATGTAGACTAGATGTAGACTAGACTAGACTAAACAAGACTAGACTAGACTGAGTTGTATCATACTAAAACTGTTGCCAGAGATTAGAGAATTTACCTTACACACAGGAGCTGTGTAATTTAGCTTGTGACACACGGGTGGAGGCATAATACTGTATGTACATCCCAACAGTACTGCGACGAATGTAATTACACCCTCTGGATACATACACCACAAAATTGAAACCATATGCTCACATCCTTGGATAAAAATATATTTTGCGCTTCACGGCACCTGAGGTTTCTATTTAGAGATCAGAATCAGCCACAGGCTTTTTGCTACTTTATTAGATTATTATACTGTGTTTTTACACTGCTCTGCTAGTGTATTCTTACCATGCAAAATGACTAATAAAGATGTCTCTATCCATAGGTGTGTACGGTTGTTAGTCACTATATGTGACTCTGTGGTTGGGTAATAACTTGTCTGGGGTGTAACAGTTCTTCACTAGTTGTCATATGGAACTGCTTTGAGCTGCAAAGAGTTTACTGTAGGGCACTGTATACTGGATAAACGGGCAAATATTTGAAACAGTCACTCTTCTATGAGATAATCATAAACCATAGCCCTACATCATTTTTTAAAATTTCCTTGGATTAAAAATGCTGGTATACTGTCATGTACCAATAGTTATTTTTCCTAGGTAAACATGTAGGAACTGACCTTTATCAAAGAACAAAAAAGAGAAAATTCACACAGAGGGCAGAGCAAATAATGATGTCAACACCTTGCTCCCAATGACCCATTAAAAAGACTAACTTTTCTATGATTCCACTAATTGTTACAGTAGTGGAACTGACTTTATTTTAGACAACAAAACAAATTTGTAATAACAATGACGAAGTAAAAATACTGGCTCAACCTCAGGCAATACCGCTGCTGCTGTGGCTATAACACAAGATTTCATCCGAACATTTATATATAGAGAACTTATTAATTATTAATTAAATGACCCAAATACTTTGTGAAAGGTTGAAACCCGGGCGAAACATGCGTGTATATAAAAACATGTAATTAAAAGTTGGCTTCAACACAGAAAGACATACCGCCAACTACATGTTCTGGAAAGACAGACAGGCAGGCAGGTTTAATAGACAAAAAAAGAAGCAGTTTATGGGACATGTCCTGCGGTGACTGGGCTACAGGAGTCGGGTGCTTCCAGCCCGCCCTGTGCGGACAGATAGACGCTAACACGTTAGCCTTTGCGGATGAGTCAAGACGCTAGCTTACTTTGGCATGACAGGTCAGCAGGAGTGACAGCGTAGAAAACGCAAACACATTATTTACCCGCTACGTCTATCTGTGCCGTAAGTCTTCTTACCTGAAACTTGGGACACCGAGTTAAGACTCTCCAGAACAGAGACAGTCCTTCAGGATGAAATGCAGTTTCTTCCGTGCCTGGTTTCTCACTGACTGAACCCAAGGGCGGTAACACAGGAAGAGTGCAGTGGAGCGTCCTGCGACTGACGTCAGAACCAGCCAATAGACAGCAAGTCCAGGAAGGTCCGCCTTGTTAAAAGAAACCAACGGATAAAATAAAATAAAATAAAATACAGAGAGTACGGCAAGGAACTCTGTATTTTACTTTATACTGTACTGTATAAAACAGATTTTGGCCTAGGGTGTCTTAGGATTGGACTTTAATTAGATGTGTTTGTTCTTTGTGTTACAAAAACCTTTTCAATTATAAAATTACTTTTAAGCCACATTTATTTGGAAAAATTATTAAGATAACTAAGATAGAAATATTTAAAGCTTGGCGCAAAAATTCTGTACAAAAATCAAAAGATAAATTAAATTGATAACCTGACTGTAGCAAAAAATGAAACAAGTTTTTGAAAACATATTTGAAGAATTTTAATACAAAAACACCAGGTAGATGGAAAAAAGAAAAAAAAAATTACAGGGAGAAACAACAGTCAATAAACAATGAAACAATCACACAGTTGGATTTTCCTTTTGCCCTACAGTATGCTGTGTAACACAAAGGCGGAGATGAGATAGAATTTCATGTTAGCCTTTTAAATTCAGGTGAAAGGAGATGCCTTGCATGTAGCCCACAATCTTTGAGAAGTGGCTGCTGAAACACATATCTGTAACCCAATGCTGATATCAAATGATGGATGCTAATTAACTAATGGGGGGTTAAAAACAGATTTGATTGGTGCAAATAGAAGATACATTATCAGCTGAAAATACAAACACTTTCATTACTGTACGGCTAATTCACTAATTTACATAAAATGTTTTAAATATTTTCACGGGATCCTTTTAGTTCGCCTCGATACTTCACGTCATAATTCAGTTTCACTTTACAACAATCGACACCTTGTGGACAAAAAGACTCATTGCATCAACGGCTTAAGCTTGGCATATACCGGAAACAAAACATTTTTCTGACACTAGTTTTTATTTCCGTTTCCGGGGTCAGTGTTTACTCTCGCTGCAGAAACATGGCGGATATGGATGAATTGTTCGGCAGTGATGGAGACAGCGACAATGAGCAGCGAGGTGAGCGTGGATTTCAGCACTGTAAAGCCGAGCTCTTATGAACGTTTGCAAGTTTACGGCGATGCAAATCAGAGAGTGCTTTGTATGACAATAAGTGTGATCGGCTAAAGTAACATCCAGACATTGTGTACCGTATCCCGCCACGCTAATCCTCAGTGTCCACTGGTATACTTCTGCCTTTTGGTGATTATTTTTGTTCAAATTTGTAACCGATTTAATGGCTTTATACATTTAAGAAACGTTTAAATCCAGTTGTTTGTCACTTTGTCTATTTCATTTTGTTTTGTGGCCGTGCCGTGTAACTCCAATGTAAAATATCGATACAGTTAAGCTCTTACAGTTTACGATCTATAATCAGAATATATTCAAGCATATAACTGGGGAAATTATATTTACTAGTATTGTGTATTATTAATGACAGACTGGTGGTGCTGTGAATGTCCGTCGCTACCATTTTAAAACGACTTTCTTTACCAGTAGACGCAGTATTGACAACTCCAACAACGATAAAAACAAAGTTTGCCGCCGGGTCTCTAAAGTTCACATTTGGAATCAAATTTCTTCCTTATTATATTGCCAATCGAAATGCACCAAAACTTATTCACATCATTAGCTGTGAAGGTAGTATTACTTGAATTTGTTTTAGCATATGAACATTATCTTAAACAACTACATTTCTTTAAATGAGACAGGACTGTGATATAATATCTGCTATGACCTAATTAAAGTGCAGGTCTTCATTCTTTTCTGTGTTCCAGAGTCTGGGTCTGGGTCCGGTTCTGACTCGGAGCCGGAGAGGCGCATGTCTGGCAGCAACGCCTCTGGCAGTGGCAGTGAGAGTGAGAGGGAACGAGATGATGATGAAGACGAAGACGATGGCCAGGAGGCAGGAAAGGCCAGTATGAATAAGGTGTGTGTGAAAATTCTAAATAAACCTAAGTCCTAAAAACTGCTGTCAGATTCTTATATAAACCCAGTATGACCCTGACTTCGTACATTATTACATCACCGACTCATTCATAGGAGTTGTTTGGTGACGACAGCGAGGATGAACAGCACAGTCAACACAGCGGCAGCGACAACCAGTCAGAACGATCAGGGAACCAGTCAGACGCCAGCGTGCACTCAGACCAGGGTGAAAACGATCACTCTGATGCAGAACAGCACAGTGGCTCAGAACGAGGCCACCGAGACGAGGACGAAGACGACGAGGACAGGGGACACCACTCTGATGCCGGAAGTCCAGGCGGCAGTGGGATGTCTGGAGCAGGGAGTCCTCGCTCTGAGAGGGGCAGTGCTCACTCAGAGAGAAGGTACAAAAACACGGCAACTTGGGATGTTCTTATAAACCATGTGTTATTATGAGGAAGAATCCATTTTTCTCATACCAATTTCTTCCAAACACACTCATTCATTAGCATGTTGTTTCATTAAACCAGTGTTCATAGTGACCCTGGGACACCACAGTCAGCACCAGGAACCCCTCACTCAGATGCAGAAGCTTCTGGCAGGGAGAACCAGTCAGATGATGAGAAGTGGGAGAGGGGGGTCAAGAGTGACCAATCAGAGGACGAGGAGGAGAAACGTCATTACTCTGATGAAGAACAGGAGAACTCTGATGACGAGGGGCTGAGGAACAGGAAGTCAGGTACTGATGGCATGTAGTTTTCTCCAGTTTGGAATCAATAAAGTTCATAAAATAAAAAAATCTGTTTCAATGATTAATATATTGTTGTTGCACTTTGTGATATCCATTTTCAGAGTCTGCATGGATATTGGACACGAACTGCATCAAAATGCATTAATTATGGTGGTTCTGTAGTGTAGCAGTTAGCACGCCTGCCTTTCACGGAGAGAGTCTTTTCCACAGGAACCACATACTTGGCGCCTCCAAGGGGCAGGCTGTTGCAGCATCAGCTGTTAACACAAGAATTTCTCCAGTTTGGAATCAATAAAGTTCATAAAATAAAAAAATCTGTTTCAATGATTAATATATTGTTGTTGCACTTTGTGATATCCATTTTCAGAGTCTGCAAAGGGCAGTGACAGTGAAGATGATTTCATCAGACAGAAAACCAAAGCAAAAGCTGCATCTGACTCAGACTCTGACAGTGATGTTGGGACAAAAAAGGGTAAAAAATGTTTATAAAGAAGAGTGAATTTAATAAATATATATTTTGTTGGTTTATGACATCACTCATTGTTTGTTAATGTCCCACAGTGAAGAAAACAGCAGCAGATGACCTGTTTGGAGAAGCTGATGACATCTCCTCAGACAGTGATGCAGAGAAGCCACTGACCCCAGGCCAGCCTCTGGTACATTACACCAAACACTAACACTGTTATGGCTGTGAAGCCCACACACAGAGGAGGTCGATTTAAACAGTCTTTGAATCAGAGAGACTTTCAATGTCATCCTGTTTGTTTCTGTTCAGGACATGGAGGACGGGATGGAGGGGGAGCATGCGGAAGAGGAGCCAGCCCCTGAGACACGTATCGAAGTCGAGATCCCCAAAGTCAGCACAGACCTGGGATCTGACCTGTACTTTGTCAAACTACCCAACTTCTTGTCTGTAGAACCCAGGTCAGAACACAATACTGTCATTTAATAACAGTGTGAATTTTGCCAGATTAAAATTTTTTCGACAAAAACATTAGTCCACGAAGAAAACAAAAATGGAGTAAAATATTATATATATAAAACTAAAATGGAGTAAAATATTATATATATAATATATATACACTTTTCTTTTCTTTGTTGAATTTCTTCGTTGGCTCCAGACCCTTTGACCCTCAATATTATGAGGATGAGTTTGAGGATGAAGAAATGCTGGATGAAGAAGGAAGGACCAGACTCAAACTGAAGGCATGTATTTCACCACACATCTGTGTGTGACTGTGTTTGTTATCTGTATATATCTGGACATCTGGAAGGTCCTGATTCTGTCTGTGATGGATCAGAGTTTGTTTCTGTTTCCTCTCAGGTGGAGAATACGATCAGGTGGAGGGTGAAGAGGGACGAGGAGGGAATTGAGACACGAGAGAGCAACGCACGCATCGTCAAATGGTCCGACGGCAGGTGAGCGTCACGTCGGTGCGGACGATGTTGACACTGTACTGTACTGTGGGCAGGATGTGCTCAGTGACCTGACCTGTGCTATTTGCAGCATGTCCCTCCACCTGGGGAACGAAGTGTTTGACGTTTACAAAGCTCCTCTTCAGGGAGACCACAACCACCTGTTCATCCGACAGGGTACTGGACTGCAGGGACAGGCCGTCTTCAAGACCAAGCTGACCTTCAGGTGATGGACTGACCTCTAGTTGTAGTGTTACAACGAGTCTGACTCCATCACACCAATCACAGCTGTGTTTCGTTCTGTCCTACTGCAGTGGTTCCTGAACTCTTTCTGCCACACATTCAAAGTTTTTGGTTCAAACCTTAAAGTAAAATTTAAAGTCAGTGCAATTTCCTCACTGAAAATATAGAAAGAGAGAATAATTTGCATTGTTGTCCGGTCCTCTGCAATAGTACTGCGTCCTCTGAAGGGGCATGCCCCTTACTTTAAGAACAGGCCAATTTTCAGTTGATTTTCATTAGAAAGGAGTCGTGAGCAGCTGAAATAAAAGTATTATAACTGTATTCTCTCTAGATAATTTAAAACTAATTGTTTTTCCTTATGTATTTCCAGGCCACACTCCACAGACAGCGCCACCCACAGGAAGATGACCCTGTCTCTGGCTGACCGCTGCTCCAAGACACAGAAGATCAGAATCCTGCCCATGGCAGGACGAGATCCAGAGTCGCATCGCAATGAAATGATTAAGGTGAAAAACTCTCACACTGTGTCTGTCCGTCTGTCTGTCTGTGCTGTTGAGTTTGTGTCAGTAGAAAACTAAAAGTTTAAATGCAATAATTAATGGAGCAAAGCTTGTTAAAATCATTTGACAGAAAGAGGAGGAGCGGCTGAGAGCCTCCATCCGCAGGGAGTCCCAGCAGAGGAGGATGAGGGAGAAGCAGCACCAGAGAGGCCTGAGCAGCAGCTACCTGGAGCCCGACCGCTACGACGATGAGGAAGAAGGCGAGGAGGCCATCAGTCTGGCAGCCATCAAGAGAGGGTACAAGGGTGGAGGTCTACGAGGTCAGCTCTTCAAACTACTGTTCACTCTCTGTGAGATTTTGTTTTTCTAATTAAATAAATACATATTAATTATAAACGTTTTTTCTTTCATCCAGGAGAGCGAGGGGCAAGAATCTACTCCTCCGATGACAGCGACGAGGGCTCGGATGACGACAGGACCCAGAGGTTGATGAAAGCCAAGAAGTTGGACAGTGATGAGGTAGGTGCACCATCCACCACGTACACACAGGGGGCAGTGCGGTGCAGGATAATGTGGGAGGCTTGAAAGCCTCGTCATCCTCCAGAGAAACTGAACAGGAGTAAAACTCCCTCATCATCAAACGAGTGTTCCAGAAAAGAACTAGTTGTGACAGTGACAGAGTGTTTGTACTTTCTTTTGGTTTTCCACAGGAACTTGAAGAATCAGGAAAGAGAAAAGCAGAAGATGACGAGGAGATGACAACCAAGAAGGCCAAGAAATATGTCATCAGTGATGAGGAGGATGAGGAGGAAGAGGACGACGAGTAAATCATCTTTTTTTTTTTTTTTTTAATTCCATTCTCTGAATTAACAGTGGCTTAAACACATGACATATGAGCAGCCACGTCCTGTTTTGTATATTTCCTGAGCTGTGAGTGGGTGAGTGTTGTCTGCGTTGTATGCAGGGGTGAGAAAATAAAGTTGTTTTTTTTTCTTATGTAACCGACCATTCTAAATCACCTTTGTGTTTTTATTTTTTTAAACCAGCCTCATGAATTACACCATTGTGAGGTTATGAAATCCACCCCGTTGTTGAGCTAATAGGATTTCCAACCGTAGATGAAAACAAGGAGTAGAGTTGACTGTCACAGTTCTGAGGTTCAAACCTAATTCTAGGTATTTATTATGGAAAGGTTAACTAAACTAAACTAACTAAAGACTGCTTCAGGTAGAAGCTGAGTGTGAACTCACCTGACAGGAGGAACAGGAGATTAGAGGCTTTAACATTCAACACAAAGGAGGTGAAACGCTGTGAGGGCAGATTCTACTACAGTTAACCTCAGTGCCCCAACATGAGGTCACAGCTACTGTATATCAAGATTGACTAAGGACAAACAAAGTATTTCTCAAGTTCTTTGATGAGAAGCGGGTATTTTTAACACAGAATATATGTAACTTTTATTAATATGGTTCCTTAATGTCTGAAGGATTCAAAACAGCTGGATTCTCGACACACGTATGACTGAAGGGTCCCACTTTAAATATATGTGTATATGTTTATGTTTAATATATGTATATATGTTTAAATGTATATACATGTATATATATAGAGAGACAAACATATGAACATATGTGTATACACGTGTATATATAGAGAGAGACAAACATATGAACATATGTGTGTCCATATATACATACACATGTATATGTTTATATATTTTGTTTTTATTTTGTGTGTATACATTTATTAAGAAAATATATACTTTATATATTTTAATGTGAAAATACACATACATATATGTATATACTACAGTATATATTTCTAACTTCTATTTGAGACAAGTGCACCCAGTAGTTATACAAAAGAAAAGTGGTCAAGATAAAAAAAAGCAGCTTTAAGGTCAAACAAACCCTGTGTTCTATGACAGTTTTGATTGTTCTGTATTATTTTGTAAATGTAAAAGTGTCTGCTGTAAATTTAAACACTATGGCCATCTCGCCACCCAAAGACACGCACAAAAAAAAACCCTACAAAGACCAAAATATCTGCTAGAGCCAGAGACCTAAAAGTACCAGGGAGACTAAATTCAGCTGTGTTATTACAGCTAACAGCAGGTTACGAGCTGAAACTGGAGAATCTACCACCACGGTTTCACACGTCAGAGCTCCAGTTGTTAGACAGCAGCCGATTGTGAAGTGGAATGAAGAGAACAACAGACCAGGTTACTGATTCAAGTCTGGATGACGCACTCTGTCTCTCTCTCAGCCGCCGGTCAGCCAGGTTCCCATGGATAGATAACAGCTCTTGAGTTGGACCTCACTCCCAGCACTTTCCGGACAGAACTGGATGACTAACAGACTAACAGAGTGGTTAGGTGAAAGTCTCACCAAATGTCAGCATTCTCTCTCCTGACAACAACCTTCATATGTCACAAAAACACACACCGTGATCCGGCCCACTGACACTAAAGACCTCTAACTGGAGCCAGTCTCAAACATCTTTCACACTCACTTTCACACCTATGGTCAGTTTAAGGTGTCCAACTCAATGAATCCCTAGTCTGTATGTTTTTGGACCGTTGGGGAAAACCAGAGTACCCTAGTACAAATGCCATTCAGAAAGACCAGGAATCGAACCAGTGACCCTACCCTACCTTGGGAACCACTGGTTCAGCAAATACGCTGACATGGCACGGTGTCTTTTTTAAGGAACTTAAAGTACTTGGTGAATCTTTAGTGTCTTTTTTAAGGAACTTAAAGTACTTTTTTTCATCTGGACAATGACAGACCTCATTCTGCACAAATTACAATGAGTTGGCTCCACAGACCTGGGGTTCAGGGGTCGACTGGCCTGACTGCAGTGCAGATCTGGACCACATTGAAAATGCCTGGTTCATAATGTGAAGTAAACACAGTAGAAAACAAGCAGAAGTCATTTGGAGAGTGAAAACCGTGGATGAATGAAGTGCATTATTAAATTTTAAAAATCTGGTTTTAATCGTTTATAACATTTCCTTAAGGCGGGGGTGAGCGGGGGCTTGGCTGAATCTTGTGCATACATGTTTATCTCCTGCTGCTCCTCATTCCGGCACATGTTTACCCTCAAATGACATGTGGCATAACTGTTAGATGCTGCTGGGTGTGAACGTGGCGTGTCTCTGGTGTCTTCAGCCTGCGCTGCGTTCTCCTTCAGACTGCAGTGGGTTATGTAAACCCCCTACCACACAGTGGGGAGTTGAGAGGGAAGACGATGGGAGGTGAAGGGGGAGGAATTGCTACACAAAGTCAGCACTGACTTGAGGCGAATGAACAAAGGGGAAGGGAGGGCTGCAGCAGTTCAGCACCCCCAACCACCCTGCATCTTCTTAGGAAAAAAATGGTTTTCTGTTTTCTCATCATTCAGTTCAAACCTAAGTCACTAAAACAAACTGTCATTATTATTATTATTATTATTATTATTATTATTATTATTATTATTATTATTATTATTATTATTATTATTATTATTATTATTATTACTATTATTATTATTACTGATGTCCAATAATATCGACTGTCCAATACTATTGGCCAATATTAGCACAATTATGTAACGTCTGTAAAATTGTTATCAGTTCTTTACTCCGATAATGAAAACCACGAAAACACATTGGCCGCACAGGTTTCTGGGCTGCAAAATGGCTGCATGTATCCGTTGATATCGGATTTGGAAATTGTGCGTTTGGACAATATCGACATATCGTCAAATATTGGACATTCCTAATTACAACATGAAATCTTAAAATAGCTCAGTCTATTATCTTGCTTCTTGTTAAAAAAAAATCTTATTGCATGGGGTTGCATGGCTAAAAAGTGGTTATTCCCATTTGCCTTACAGTGAAAAGATCAACAGTTCGATTCCCTGAGGTTCCTGCATGTTTTTACTCCTGTTAAAAAACATGCAGGATCAGATTATTATTCACACTAAATTGACCACAGGTGTGAATGCAGGTGTGAATGGTTTCTTGTTTCTACATCTGTACAAATCAGGCGCTGTGGCTTAGTTGGTTAAAGCGCCTGTCTAGTAAACAGGAGATCCTGGGTTCAAATCCCAGCAGTGCCTTTTGGTTCCATAGTGTAGCAGTTAGCGTGCCTGCCTTGGAAACAGAGTCCTGGGTTAGATTCCCAGAGGAACCACATGTTTGGTACCTGTCAGGGGCAGCGCGGTGCAGCAGATCTGCTGTTAACACAAGAAGTTTCCAACTAAGGGATCAACCAAGTTCAGGTTTCATGAATTAGTTCAATGCATTTGACGAGATTTGACTTTCTGTAAAAAAATCATGTGAAACTCTGATTTGACACAGGGTTCTGACCTGATCACTGACACAGAGTTCAGTTGTGTGTCAGACCTGAATCCTGGGTTCACCTGTTCTAATCTGATCCTCTGGTAATTAAAGTCACTGTGTTCTCTTTCTTCTTTTGTCTGCGTTCATTTCACACTAATGATATCTCTGTGTCAGTGTGTTGTTGTCTTTGAACCAATCATATCGTGTGCAGGTCGACAATATGTTTTATTTTAATTTTAAACAATTTTTCATCTTCTTTAACATCTATTTTATCCCTTGTTCCTTTTTTATTATAAACTATATTGCAATTTAAATTTGTTCCCAAATGTTTTCTACAGACAAAAAATTAAAACTCCAAAACTGGAATATACAAATTTAGTGCAAAGTTTCCCAACAATCACTGAAAATATTGGACAATATATTTCCCCAAAAAGCCCAGCAAAGAACTGGTCCTAAGCCTGGTCATATGGGGGTGGGGAGGTCTGGGGTCTGGTATAAACCTCTAGCAAATCACACAGGCAGATGGTCGGTGATGACCACAGGAGAAGGGAGCAATGGAAAGTAAAAAGAAACAAAACCCCAAATGTCAAATTTTAACAGTTGGTAAATAGATAGTAGTACAGCCAAAATGTATATAGATTTCAAACTAAGAAGTAAAATTAAAAATCAACACAAAACCAAATCCAGTCCAGGGTCTGAGCCGTGACCGTGCTCCGCTGCTCAGTGCCCTTTAGCCCCGACTGCCTCGGTCCCTTTCCCTGCTGCTGCTTACGTAAGAGGCCAATAAATAAAACAGAAACACAATATGGGTCTCACCACAGGATCCTTAAACTCTCACACATGACACTGACCTGGAGATACTTTCCCTGACGCACAAGCAGGTTCAACACACACACATGCACAACAGCCTAACCTTAACCATTTATTACTCAAAACAAATCTACTTAAAACCGAGCAATCTGACCCTAACTTTATTCCTAACTCCAAACTAAACCTTAAAACTCAAAATAAACTTTATCTCAATGGGGACCGGCTAACTCCAAACTAAACCTTAAAATAAACTTTATCTCAATGGGGACCGGGAAAATGTCCCCATAAAGACAATGTCCCCATAAAAAAAAAGTCTTAACTATATACAACCGTACAACCACACAACCCACAAACACGTATGCGAGTGTAATGATTCCACACAACCCACAAACACACAAACACGTATGCGAGTGTAATGATTCATTATTGGGTTTTTGCCTGACCGGGTCAGCATGTTCTGCTCAGGGACATGGATTAATTGGTAACAACATGGCTGCCGTCAACTGTTCCACCACAGACTAAGAACACGACCCCTCGGAGACACAGCAAAGGGCACGCTGACCCCCGGTGTCCCAGTCGTGACACTGCTTTAACACCTATTCTTGTCTTGTGCACAGAACATGACAGCATTTTCTTTTAACCAGACATAATTACACACGCGGTCACTATTTTCACGCCTGTTACCGATGCACACTGTTCCAACAGTTATCATGTACGTTGGTGATTATTTTTAACAGGGATGGAGGTTCATTAGGTCATTTTACAATACAGCATCTGTTTGATCCTCACTGGAAGACAAAAGGTTAACAGAGCAGAGAAAGACGTGACACACTTTCTGACTCTGGCCTGACGCCGGCTTCATGTGTAATCAG